TGGATGGCTGGGTGGATAGATGGATGGATGGATGGATGGATGGATGGATGGATGGATGGATGGATAGATGAATGGATGGGTGGATAGATTGATGGATGGATGGATAGATGGATGGATGGGTGGATAGATGGATGGATGGGTGGATGGATGGATGGATGGGTGGATGGATGGATGGATGGGTGGATGGATGGGTGGGTGGGTGGGTGGACGGACGGACGGACGGATGGATGGATGATGGATGACGGATGATGGGAGAGTATTACTCTGTAGCTGGACATAGTGGCCCACACCTCACTTGCAAGGCTGAGGGAGAATAATCAAGAGTTTGAAGCCAGTCTGTATGAAATACAATGAGAGATAAAATAAAAATTAAAAGTGACAGTGATTTAGATCAACCATCTCATGCTGGCTGTGTGCTAGATAGATCCATCTTCAAGAGCATCTCACAAGACTGAAATAAAGAAACCCTGGGGAAAATGTGCCAATGCTGTGGAGTAACGTGCTGCCAGATAGTATATGATGCAGCACAAATCACTCTCCACGTCCTGAAACACACCCAGACTGTGATTTTCATCAGCTCTGGCCGTCCAAATGAATGAGAACTCTCAAAGCTGCTGTCAGCTACCGACACCCCAAAAAGGAATCCCGGAAGCTCGCGCCCTTGTTGGAGACCTGGGGTCATCATCACGTGGCTCTAGGCTGCTGTGGAGACAGGGACATTGGCATGAACTGGTGGCTGTTACCAGGGAAGGGAGTTTGCTGCAGGACATCAACACATCCTGACATGGACTGATACATACTCAGCTGTGCTGTGCATGGCGTGGGGATTTCTCACAGTGAGTGAAAGGCAGAGAGGAAATGGGCCAAGAACAAAAGCCCATTCTGGAATAAAAAGGTGACTTAGTGTACCTGTGAGCTATCGTTTGACTGTTTAATTCACACTGACTTAGCTGGAATGGAAAGCAAGTAATTTTCTACTGATGAGACAAATGCTTCTTTTACGTACAAACTAAGTTTGTCACCTTCATCAAACATACCTTCACATTTTTGTCTAAGACTAGCTCAGAAGACAATCTTCCACTCAGAACTGGGTGGTGTTAAGCCACTCACACAGAAAAAGCAGAGACATATTACATGGCTGTT